ATTTTTTTTTTTTTTAAAAAAAATTTTTTTTTTTTTTCAAAACCCCCCCCCCCCCCCCATAAAAATTGAACAGGATTATGAAATCGCTCTGATTGTCATGAAACCGTCAGAAGAGTTGAGAGCATAAAAGGAACTGTGACAGTAAAGAAGGAAGAAGGCACACGGATGGAGGAGGAACCGCTACAAATTTAGTCCGAAAACGTTTGGATTAAAATGAGAAAAACAGAGTTATAATAGTTTAATATCTTTGAGGAGTTTTTTTTTTCCTTTGGGCGCACCATGCATAAAAGATGGACCCGTCGGAGCCTGGTTGTCCTAATTTTTACATTTTTCATTGTTGTCTTTGTGGATTTTCAATTACGCAGCAGCAGCTTTACCAAATCAAACGTGGCTCACCACCCGTCGGCCGGCGCGCGCCATGGCTCCATCGGGCAGGTTCCCTCCGCACACCGCTCGGTGTATAACAGCAGCAGCAGCAGCATCAAAGGCGGCGGAAGAGAGTCCAAACTTAATGAAAATAACGGAGGAGAGTCTGTGGCTAAGCGCGTCCACGCCACGCAGCCCAAACTCAGACTGGATGACATTTACGTGGCTGTAAAAACCACCGCGAGGTTCCACAAGACGCGTCTCGCGCTCCTTTTGGACACTTGGATCTCAAGGACCAAGGCGCACGTGAGTGTCTGTATCACTTCTCAGCCAAAAAGCACAGCTGCCTGACAGGAGACCTGATACGTTCAAACAATGCAATAATGTTACCTTAAATGACTGCCACTTTATTAAATTAATACCCTTTGATACAGAAGATATAATAGTTTAATAAGTCTATTTTACAATAATGTATCTTTTTTACTGAACTGAACTTTCTTCGATCCATCAGGGTCGTTATTGGCTTCGATTACTTGGACTCTGTTGTTTTTACTTTTATTTGAGTAACGTTATGATAAAGTGTCACTACTGTCACTTGACTAACTGTGAATAACTTCACTGAATGGAGAACAAACATTTTTTAACCAAAAAAATCCGCCAGACACAGACACACACCTGCAGTTTCTGTTAAAGTTTCATCAATTTTATATTGAGAGAATATTTTTTCTGTTGTCTGATTTTGTTATTTTGCAAATTACTACTATTACTACTACTACTACTTTTATTAATAAAGCACTTTAAAACAAGGTACAGGTAAAATCAATGAACACTCAAAATAAAATAAATAAATAAATAAATAAATAAATAAATAAATAAATAAATAAAGAAATAAAAGATGAAAATGAAAACAATAAAACACAGATTAGACCAAAAGTTATTTTATATTAGTTATTTTCATTTTGGTTTTCAAAGTATGAAAAGTTCCACTTAGTTTTTGCTTTGGAGAGGTAGAAAAATAAACACTTTTTCTTTAAAGTTCCAGTTTTTATGTTTTCAAATTTTCCCCACAAGCTAAAAATATCTTGTTCTCTTGTTCCACTGGCAGATTATTTCACTTATAGTAACTTTTCATCAATATTGAGGCATTATTGACTTAAAACAAGCTCCAACATTGTGCTGAAAACTTACTTGTAGGTTATTTTTGAATTATTTCAAGTGTAACGAGACATTAGCTTGAAACTAGGCCAAAAATACTTCTGTAGTTTTGCAGTGCACTGGTGATACTCCCAAACATAAACAGTTATGTTTTTTTTAAGTATCTTTGTGTCCACTGCATACATTCACTCAGATTAAAAGTTTGATTTTTCAAAGTTTTATAGAGACTTTTACACATTTAGAAGGGTTAGATGATGTTAAAACCTGCTAAAAGGGCCTGCATGCAAATTTCTCCAACAAAAATGATTCAGCAATGGATTCTATTCCAGCTTAATAAATATTGTAGATATCAAACCCTGCAGCCTCTGTCAAAAAGTCTACCAATTTGCTGTGTTTATTCTGCAGTTAGAGCACTTTATTTTTTAAAGATTACGAGTAACACAACGTGACTTTACCATGATTAGTCTTTTTTGTTTTGGCTCTACACAGCATACTTTTGCTGAAATCCAGCAAGCCTCACAGCGTTAACTGCAGGTCAAAACATTTCACATGAAATATGTGTTTATGTCACAGAGCCACATCTCCAGTCTGTGGACGTTTGATTTGTCCAGCTGGGCTCAAAACGAGGAGAGTTTGGGAAAAAATCCAAAACATTTGAGTTGGTCCAGATATCATAATTGACTTATATATAGGCTCGTTTATCAAACAGAGTTGTATATTCAAAAATAAATACACAATCATGACTGCTGCTTTGTTAAAGCATTCCTCGTGTCATTTCCTGCTTTTTGTTCCTTAATGTGACTTAGAATGGAGGCTTTGAAGAAAAGTCATAATCATGAGTGAAAACGGAAGGTCAAGAGACAGTAGCTTCCTCTATTTTAACAAAAACAGCAGTAACTTGTTTTTTGTTTGTTTGTTTGTTTTTTTGTTTTTAATCCTTGCTCTATCGTTCCCCGCTCCTTACCTTGCCTCCAAAAGTTAAACTGTTTCTCAAATACTGTTTACATTTTCAAACCAGGCCACATGTAGTCACAGGAACGCACACGACATGCAGCACTGCAGCAGCAGAGCGTTCACAAACACACAGGAAGCTCTGCAGGCAGGCTGCCTCGGCTGAGGGGAAGCAGCAGCCGCGCAGCCACTCTGTTAACAATACCGAATCGGAAACTGGTCACAGAACAGGAAGTGGAGACACAGATTGCAGAACAGAATGAACCTCGTCATACTTAACACCCTGCTAGGAGGAAAGAAGCAGGGTGAAAGGTCATTACAGAGGCCCCCTGTGTACATATACATGTACAAATGTTTGAGTTGGGTAGTAAATAGCTACATTTACTCATTTACATTTACTTCAGTAACTTTTAAAAATAATGTGCTTTTAGAAGTATTTTTACTATGTTGTACTTTTTACTTTTACTTGAGTAATTTTATTATGAAGTATTTCTACACTTACTTAAGTAAAATTTCTGGATTCTCTACCCACTGAATGAACAACAAACATGTTTTAACCAAAAATTCACCGGACAAAGACACACACCTGCATTTTTTGTTAACGTTTCTCATGTTTTTTATTGAAACTGATTAGGAAAAAAGATATATATTTTTTGTCTGTCTGTATGTAACTCTGAAATATTAAATGATAGATAATTTGATCAATTACTCAATAGTTGTTTATACTTTTTAGCAAATGCTTTTTTAGTCTTACTTGAGTAATTTTTTTTGGATGGCTGCTTTTTATTTTACTTGAGTAAAAACAGGTCAGTCAAGAATCGAGCAGACTACACGTTAGAAATTATCGAATATTTCCTCTAAATTACAAACGGTCATAATTATATACACACAGGTATATGCATACACCCCAACTAATATTTGACCAAAAGTCTTGAGGCAAATTGCTGCCAATCTCTTGGTTTCTGTAGCCATCTTAACAGGATTGGTGGTAGGTTTTCTTTAAAACCTACCACCAGGGGCAGTATTATGTCAAATTTACTTTAGTTTTTTTTTGGCTTTATATTAAGTTATAATGTTATTTCCTCAACCAGCTCCTTCAGACTAACCAGGAGGAATTAGCAAACACCTGGCGTAACAGTCCAACGCTCCTCAGAATGTTTGTAAACACGTAGTGGAACTTTGTTGTGATTGATGACTTCCTGAAGGTGGAGTTTCAGAAAGAGCAGGAGCTTCTTAAAGAGGCAGAGACCCAATTTCAAGGCGTCAGATTAATAAGTCAAATATCTTTTATGTTTGATGAATGCAGCATCTTTAGAACAACTGAAGGTAACATATTTACTTGATTGTGCTATAAAATGGCACTATGTGTCTGGAAAACACATAATACCACCCCTTTAAAGAATAACATACAGATTTTCATCAGGCTGGTGTTGGGGCCATCAGTGTCTATAAGGTTTAATTCTACATTTTAAAATCGATGTGTCTTTGAGTCGTTATCTTGCTGGACTGTGGCGTTATCACTGAAACTCGTCACCATTTTCCTTTTTAAATCCAAGAATAATGGTGTGTGCCTGACTCTTTTTACAAGGCACTGCAGGCCAACATTTTGTGAGCTGTGGGGGAATTAGTCAAGATGAAAAGTTGTCTTATTAGTCCTCTTCCTTTGCTCAGCTTAACTGACCAAGGAGTGACAGGGAGGGATTGAATCAGGTTTGGAAAAGAGCTTTTGGGACGACAAATGAGGCAGAGAAGAGTCTCACTCTTATTAAAATTATATAACACTGACAATCTATTGAGTGACTGACATTGCTTGGAAGAAGAAAGAGGATTAAAATGAAAGTTTCTTTCACTTTTAATAAAACAGTTAATGGTGTGTTCAATAGAGGATTTGCCTCTTACACTGAAAGTAGCTGAAAATTGTAATAAACACACAAGCACAGTAGATGGTCTGGTGTCATGTGACTGATCATCAGCATTTACATTTATTTATTGATTTTTCATTAATGAACATGAGAAAAAAAATAAATATAAAAAAATCTGGCATAGTAAAGTTTTTGTGACCCATTCAGAGTTTAATTCACAATTTAACAGACAGTCCAATTTAGTTAGCTCGGTTAAAATAGACCAAAAAGGTAATCAGTGGATTATTATATTCAGTTTTTATTTTTTATTATCGATGGATGATATGGCTCTGTGCCAGGGCGGCATGGCCTGTGTGGTGCATACCACTACAGGAGTGACTGATGATGCTAAATGCTAAAGTTGATGTCTAGTTTCCGTTTTTCACCTCAGAGTTAAATTAAAAGACAGTTTTAATGTTTTAGGGCGTCTGGACTCCATTTAGCCATTTCTTTGAAAAGTCTTACATGTTCAGAATATTTTAAATTTCTCTATATTGAATAGTAGTTATTTGAAGCAACATCGTAGATGTATAAAACCTTTAAACTATTAGTAAAAATACACGCACGCACGCACACACACACACCCACACACACACACACACAAAAGAGCATTTGTAATTATTTGGCTCCACTTTAGATTGAGACCAGCTGGTTAAACCTGGAGTGAGTTATTCTACAATAAATAAGAATATTCCCTGCATGTTCTGCTGTTCAAATAAGAATAATTATAGTGACTTTTATCATATTTATTCATTTCAATAGGAATATTTCAACTAATGATGAAGTTAAATATATATAAAGAGAGTTTAAAATCTCAACTAAAGTTAATGCATGTGAACTTACATTCATATTCTATTAGCAGCGTGTTTGTTTTGAAAATGATATTAACTGAGTCTAGTTCAAAGCAGTTAAAATCTACATGTAAATGGCAAAAAATACTTTGATATTTTCTTGCTGTCAACATCAAAACATTTTCATATCACAAACACAGTTTATGAATTAGGGATATTTTAAGCGTTACAACTTTTCTTACTGGGAATGTATTTCTAAATTAAAGTAATGCATCTTTGGTCTTCTTCCCACTTTTACCAATACATTGATGTTATTTCTGTCATCTTGTTGCATTATCCTAAGATTACAGGTGTCAAAACTTGGGATGCACCAATATAAAAGTTTGGGCCGATAATGATATCCAATGTCAATATCGCTGTTGTAGCCGATATTTACAGATATTATACATATATTTCACCACTGTTTCAACACCTTTGAAGGGAAAAAAAAGACCAGAAACAGACGGCAACAAGATAAAAATAAATATCGGTTGGTCACATCAACTTTTACGTATTGGATCGATACCGATGTTAAAATGTTCAACTGTTAGTATCATATCATGCATTAATAATCAAAACTTATGGTTTAAATATTTGTCATGTTTTATCAAGTACTACTACTAATAGTAATAATAATATTGAATTGTAGCTTCATCCTAATGCTTTCGTCAACATCCTTTAACACTGGGCAAAACCTTCTTCAACATATCTGGAACTGAATATTTAAGGTGCTTATACTGGATCCAAAACATTAATTAAGGCCCTTTGAATAAAACATTAGTTAGTGTTTGTTTCTATCTTATCTAACAGGTGATTTGTCTCACTGTGAGGTTATTTATTGCCCCGCTGGCAGAGACAGACGAACGCACCAAACGGTTCAGCTTGATGAACTGTGCAAATGGAGTCATTTCCCCAAACCCTCGGAGCAAACCTCATCAGTTTCTGAGACCTGCACACCTTAAAGTTTCCACTCTTCCCTTTCACGCTGGATCAGTTTTGAAAACACACACACACACACACACACACACACACACACACACACACACACACACAAAAACGCAAAAAAAACCAGTATTATGATTATAGAAACTTTTAAATGTCTAAGAAATCTCATAAAATCAAGACAATGGTGTTTTTTTGTTAAGCAGTTGTTGAACAAATATCACATGACAAGCTTTTCAGTTTTTACTGCAATATTTAAAAAAGCAGGTAAAATATGTATTTGTAAAGTGTTTTATACCGAAAGAAAAAAAAAATCCCTAAAAACTTGGATGTTTCTTTTGTGCAATGTACATACATTTGTCTTAAACTTAACTACTGGTACAAACACAATGGTATTTAGTATTAAAAAGATTACCCTGATGATGAAATCCACTTGTTACAAAATTTCTTCCTTTCCGGGGAGTTCTGCATCACCAGATGGCAGTATCGCACTGCAGTTTGATTTCTGCAGCCGTCTGTCTGGTTGGATGCAAACGAGGGAAATAAGGAGGAATCTCAATATGTGATTTACGGTTTATTAGCTGGTAAACATGAGACTGATTCAGCCAAGTGATGCTTCATAGAGCCTCTTGGACTGTGTGTGCTTCTGCATATGTGTTGTTGTGCTGTTCATTATTCAGCCTGAAGTTGGGGAACAATATTAATATTTCACCGAATTGGCTTCATGTAAAGTGGGTAGCATGTCTTGAAATATAATTGCTTAAATAATTGTCCCCTAATTAGAATATGTGGTAGAAGAAAACAAAGAATAACCAGCGGTAATTAAAGGAATGTGTTTGTGTTTTGTTCTTTTTTTAGACATTCATTTTCACAGACAAAGAGGATGAAGAGTTAAGTTCAAATGGTAAGTAGTTACAATATTATTAACACAGTTTTAAGAGGCACACTTTAATAAACATCTACACTGCCTCTCAAAAGTATTCATACACCATCAACTCTACAGATTGTGCCTTTTGATAAGCAGGCCAACACAAAGTAGTGTGCAATTTTCAAAGTGGAAGGAAAAACAACTATGGTTTTTACATTTTTTTGCAAATAAAAGTCTGAAAAGTCAGCAGATTCTCAATTGAATATATGGACTTTGACTGGGCCGCTGCACATCTGAATATGCTTTAGTCTAAAGCGCTCTGTTGTGTCTCTGGGTTTATGTTTCTGGTCAGAAGGTCAACCTCTGCCCAGCGGCCCAGGCTCCACCCTGATGATGCCTCCAGCACATTTTCATCCATGTTTAGTTCCATCCACCTTCCTACCTTCATTTCACCTGTAAAAGGAAACATCCCCACAGCATGATGCAGCCACCACCATGTCAGACACAGGGGACGACATGAGGGCTCCGGACTGTTCTCAATTTTATTTGTTTCCTGGTCTTGGGCCTGGTCTTTGCCTTGGACTGTGAGGTCTTGGTCTTGGTTTTGGTCTTGGTCTCTGCAGAACTGGTCTCGACTCCATGTTAGACGTAACAAATCTTTATTACTCTCTCACTGGTTTTCCAAATTGATCATTCACCTCTTGGACAATGTAAGTTGATGAAGTTTAGAGATTGTGTGTCAATATGTGGCTGCAATTAATAACTTTTTAGATTATGATAGCAATTATTAATTTAATACCAAAAAATAGTTTGGGTTGAAGAATAAACCCTTTTAAAATTCATTTTTGCATTTTGTGGTGCTCAAAAAATAGTTAAACTCTAAACAGTTTGCCTTGGCCTTGGGCTCGAAAGGTCTGGTTTTGTTCTTGCTCTTGGAAGGTCTGGTCTTGACTCCGTGCCTGTTGATCACATGCTTAGCAACTTAAAATATGACTTCTTCTAGCTTTCTCTGAACTAAGGCTTTAGTCTCATCCCTTTCCTTTCAAATTTGTAAAAAGCAGAGCGGGATACTTGTCTCCTATGTACAAGGCCCTTAATAGTCCTGTCTATAGAAACTCAGGTTTGTATCTCTGCAGCTCTTGAGTTACCATGGCTACTAATTGTTTCTCTGATTATTCACCTATAAGGTGGCTTCTGAAGATGGACTGGGTTATATTTAGAAGGGTTATGGTAAAAAGACTGAATACAAATTAACACCAAATAGTTTGCAGTTTTCTTTGTAGATACCTTCCACTTCACAGTTACAGATTATTTCAGTTGCTCTATGACAATCCCACTGAAAGACATACAATTTGGGATGCAAGATTGATAAATACATTCACAAGTCGTTGTATATATATATATATATATATATATATATATATATATATATATATATATATATATATATATATATATATATATATCTAGATCAGGGCTCAGCAAACTCTTCCATTCAAAGAGCTGCTACAAGATAACATTCGCCTGGAGCTGCAAAAGATAATTTGCAAAACATGTACTACAGAAAATATTTTATGATAGCTGTCAAAATTAAAGTAAGATTGTTTTTTCTGTTTTCATACTTTAGAACAAAATGTCTCATCTATTACAAGAGAAAAAAACAAATTTGTAGAATGAGGTGAGCCTTTGGCATAGGTATGGAAAATCAAGACAGGTTTGTAGCATATTAGAAGCCAGTTACTTTAAAAGTCTCTATATGGACATTTTGCAAAAGAACTTATGGAGAAACTCCTAAAATGATCATTTCTCATTGGTCTATGATCAAAAACATTTCCTATCTAAATTTCTAAGAGCCACATGCGGCTACATGTGGCCATAGAGCCACATGTAGCCACAGAGCTCTTGATGCTCTAAGGCACATCTATCATATCTGCTTATCTCCTTTCAATGTTTTTTTCCCACATAAATCATCCTCACACCAACGGAATGAGCAGACATTTACTTCTTTCAGCATGACAGGCGCAGAGAGGCACGCCAGTCCGAATTTGAAGGACATCCACCTGCATGTACACAGCATGCCCCTCAAAACCTACAACCTTGCGGTCCGTTCTCACACATTTGCTGCTTGCGATGACGCTGAGGCAGATTTACCGCTTGACATCCGCTGTAATGCTCGAAACAGGCTCCTCGTCTCCAGCCAGCTTCTCATTTCTAGTCTATTTCGCCAGCTGATATGACAGCTAATGGATGGTCAATTTAAACACAAAGTGCCAGGCCAGACCTCATCACCCTAAATCAGCAGCTAAATGGAAGCAGATCACTGCCGCTGGGGCCTCAAAATCATGTGGAGAGGTTTTATGAAAAAGCTGAAGACCGAATGTGGGGTTGCATTTTGTCCGAGGCGCTTGTGCCAAACACTCGTTTTCATTGTTTCTTTATCTAATTTCTTATTCTCTGCTCAAGTAATTGCATTATTTTTATTTCCACTTTTCTCCATTTGAACTCATCTTTTTACAGCTGTCCTCTGATTGTTTTTTAATATTACTTTCATCCCCTCGCTGTCCAGGTTATAACATGGTGGTAACGGGGTGCCAATCAGATCACAGCCAGCAGGCTCTGTCCTGCAAGATGTCCGTCGAGTACGACGGCTTCATGGCCTCAAACAAGAGGTAAGACGCACTGCAGACCACATACCAGACTCCTCACAGTTCATTTAAAGATGAAGTCCCAAAACTACAGGAATGACTTTGTACCCATTGTTAGGCCGATAAATGTCATTATCATCTGTTGAAATTTTTTATGACATTTTGCTTTTTTCGTTATCTTAGTTGTCATACAGGTTCTATTTAAGTGATTTCCTGATTCAACAGGCCTGTGTGTGTGTGTGTGTGTGTGTGTGTGTGTGTGTGTGTGTGTGTGTGTGTATGTGTGCGCGCATTTGTTTGTAATACCTTGTGGGGACCATTTTCCTGACACATACTACGTTGGGGGGACCCACTGCTCCTTGTGGGGGCCGAAGCCTCGTCCCCACAACGGGAAACGCTGTTTTTGGGTCAGGGGTTTAGGACTAAGATGTGAATTGAGTTTTAGTTAGGGTTAAGGTTATGTTTAGGCTGTAGAAATGAATGGAAGTCTATGGAAAGTCAGCACAAAGAGCCACGCAAACGTGTGTGTGGCTGGTGATTAATTATGAAATTTGGGGCAAATATATTCTCATACAGGACAAGGTTGCTTTGGATAGTATTTCTTTCCTTAACAAAAACAAGACATCTCTAAAGAAGCAAATATTTTTTCACGTATTTGGCTCCCCATAGGTACCCCTGGTGATTTATTTTTCTTATGTAGCTCCTACATGATAACGTCTTAATTCATACCATATACTTTTTATTTGCTTCAAGAGCCTCATTTTTCATTTTGTTCACACAAAACAGCACAACATTAGAATAATAAAATCCTACTACCGGATGTGAATTTGAATATCTTCGGCAACACGCCAGTATTTTGCTCGTTGCCAGCCTAAATTTGCATTAGATAGCACATATACAGATAAAGGCTCCTCAACAGTATACTGACAGTGTGAAATATATGTTTTATTTGTGGAAAATACATTTAAATTCAACAGCTTGTGCTTGCTTGTGTGACCAAGGCCCTGACGAACTGCTGTAACAATGGCAGAGAAAATTAAGGATTTGTTTGTTGTTTTTTTTTCTCCCCCAGCCTGGTTCCAACCCAAACTGAGTAAACATCCACCGGTTTCACTGAAGTCCAGTGGAAGTGGAGACTAAAGCTGTTTGGTTTGGAAAATGGCCCTCGTTGGCCGATAGCATGGCAGAGGGGGGGAGAAAAGAAGACACGATTTTCATTTGGAACCAACAGATTTGTTACTTGGACTCTGATGTTGTGGATGACGTGTTTTTGGTCTGGAAGAAAAAGAAGGGGGCTCTGTCATTATGTCCACTAATTGGTATGGGAGAAGTACATCAAGCTGCTTGATTGCTGGGTTTAATATGGCGGAAAAATTATGCTTGGATGAGAGAGGGAAACCCAGAACAAAAATAGCTTTATAGCGAGAGCCACTCTGCAAAAAAATCCTATGTCCTTCCAGAGCTTTTGTGATGGTCCAAGCTCATTTACCAACACTTTGTGGGAGGAAAGAGTGATGAGCTCCACTTGTACATCTATGCGTCATTAAATTAAAACGTGTTTTTTTAGTTTTTGTAGTCAGGCCTCCCCGCACTCTGTTAAGGAAATGACACGGAGAAGAAATGCTGCTCAAGTTTTCCACACAAGTTTCTGACATCCAACAATTTATTGTAATTTTTAGTAAGATGGAATAAAACTAAAGTAAAAATGTGTGTCTTGTATTATCACTGGAGCAGATGGAGGTTTGGAAGAAAGGGGCTTTTTGAGATGGAGTTAGGATTTTCATAAAATCTATTTTTATATGTAAATATAGCAGCGTTTAGACATTTACATACACTCATTTTCAATATTACATTTGTTTTTGGTTAGTAATTATGTGTTTGAACTAGAGACTCGATTAAAATCTTTAATGGTGTTAATTGCAAGGTCTGTAATTAATTAATTTCTATTATTCACATTTTAATTGAAAACCATGAATCAACCAAATAAGCAATACTTTAAATTCAGAAACCCTTTTCACTACTAAACTAATGAATAAATAGACGTATGAGCTCAACAACAAAGATATTTATTGTTTCTAATCTGTTATTTAGGTTCTTCAACCATCACACTGGTGCAAAGTGCTTTTATACCCACCATTCATGCAAGACCTTTGAAAAAAATACTTCTTTTGAAATGTGAACGCTGACATTAGCTGACATTGGAGACGTCTGTGTTTGCTGCTACCTGTTTAGCTTTGGGATGGTATCTCCGGCGATTAGCTAACTCCTCTTTGCACAACTTGTACACCACCACAGTCTTTTCCAGCGTCCCATCAGATAATATTTTGAAGCAAAAATGACACGCTGCTCTTGGCTCACAGAGGGTTAATTTTGTTGTCCATTGTTTTTGTTTCCAAATGTTGCTTGTGTGTCAGCTTTACGGTTATACCAGGAACAAATGAATACAAAGGTTCCAGCTTGGGATTTTTTAATGAGAAAATTAATTTTTAATTTTGTAACACATTTAATATGCAGCCAGAATTATTGAAGAACGTTCCTGATGGTTTAAAAAATCCACACATGGTTTGTGTGTGAATTAGTTATGGGGACATTTAACCAAATCTTAGTATATTCAAGGACACATTTGAGGCTGTATATATAATCTTGACCCTGGTTGGATTAGGCTTTGGAAACTTGTATACCCAATTACTGTTCTTTAAAATCAGTCAAGTTCTTTGCAGCGTTATGATTAATCCCATTAAGACCCCTAAATTAACATGACATTCAAGTCCATAATGAATATGTACGTGTCTAAGTGGCACAGTGATATCAAAATTTAACTTTAAGGGAACTTGTGTTGATGTCTGAATTTAACAGTAAAGTTTTATCTCTTCAAACTACAAAAAGCTAATAAAAATATGTATAATAATAAGACTCCCACAATAGATTAAAGCAGCCTTTATGAGGTTTATAGCCACGCCTCTTGGTTCTGGAATTTATAACCCATCTTCTTTAAATTGACTTAGATTAAATTATGTAGATATATATATAGTGCAAAATAGCCCTTAATGTGGTTTGGTATGAGTTTTCTGTTTGCTAATACAGAAAACTCTGAGGACTTCACATGGTTCTCTGGTGAGAAAGCAATCACAGAGGAATAATTGGGGCACTAACGGGAGATGGATTATAATGCTTATGTTCTGTTTTTCCTCAAGATGAATAGGAGACAAACTAACTGCTCCAATAACACTCTCAAGACAGCAACTTTTCTAACGCTCAAGGATCTTTAGCATACAAATCAACGGCTCCATAGTGTTCACACAATGTCAGTTTAAGCTTAAAACAATAAATGCAAAGCAGTAACAAAAAATGTACTATAAAGTTTTACTGTTGACTTCAGTCATTACTTGGTTTAGCTGTTGCACATTGTCTTCTTGTAGTGCTGCAAGAATGAGCCAACATAGTGAAAAAGCACTTTTGAAAGCGTTAATGTGCCTGGCTGAAAATATCCAAATAGGTATAAGCTTTTTTTCTCCTTCGTTGTGTTTTTCTCCAGGTGGTTTTGCCACGTAGACGATGATAACTATGTGAACCCCGAGGGTCTCCTCTCTCTGCTCTCAACGTTCCCCCAGGAGGGCGACATCTACGTGGGCAAGCCGAGTCTGGACAAACCCATCACTGCTCACGAACTGCTGGACGGAAATAAAACGGTACGCTGACTATATACTGTGCTCTTCACTTTTTTATTTATTGAATTTCAGCCCTAAAACTTTAATACCTTTGCCTTGCTGTAGTGATACATTAAGAAGAAATAAAGGCAAGTAAAGACTAAAACTACATATATTTATTTGAATTAAATAATTACATAAGTCAATAACATCTTGCATGTGGCAAATATACTGAAATAAAAAAAAAACACTTGAAGGTTTGTCACAAATTTTCTAGGCAACATAGCAGTGCTGGGTACAGCTAGCAAAAGGTTCATTTCACTAATTATTAACATTAGCTAAGTGTTACAGCAAGAATGAATAAAACTCAACCGGCTACAGTGGAAGACTGGGAAAATGTTTTCCAACATAATTTAGTGGATGAGAGAGAAACTAATAATGACAGTCTATGTATGTTATGTTGCTTTTTGTGTTTTATCCTGATTCTGAGCAAAAGAAATGCTTAATATGTCTGTAACCTCAGTCAACGGCCTTTTAGCCCTGTTGAAGATCAGTAAAATATATTTTAAAAAAGTTAGCTAAAATGCCAAAAGGTGCTAAATGAAAAACTTATTCTGCTATTAGCAAGTTAGCAGATTAGTAGATGTATGCTAACCATTGTAACATAGTATAAATAAACACATAAATACTGTAATTTCTGGACCACAAACCGCTACTTTCTTCAAACACTTTGTACACTGCGTTGCGGCCAATAGATGACTTTTTACCAAAGGCTGGACTCCTGCGTGATGAAGAGGGCAGTCGGCACAACAGTGAATCCGTTTAGAGACCAACGTGACATTGAGAGAGGCAACAAAAAAGAAAGATCGACAAAATGTGTCACAAAGTAACACAGAGGCTGTTTAATTCAGACCCAGAAAAAGACGACTCTCGTGGTTTTAGTGTGAAGATATTCATCACAGACTTTTCCCTGTAGGCTACTGTAGATCTTTTTGAGCAGGCATGTTACAGGCGCCGTTTGGAAAAAGTATTTATGTTGCGTTATTGTGTATATTACCAGTAAGTATTTCATTAAAAGTAAAATAAAAATCTTTCAATATAACAACTTGGACATGCTTATAGACAATATACAGTTTGAGTGTGTGGCTCTTTTATTCCGGTCGGCTCAGTAGTCTGAAAAATCCTGCCACGTTTTTATGAACTTTAGTCATGGAACGCAATTTCTTTCAAATATTTAAATATTTACAGCAGTCATTCAAAATCCATGTGCTCAGTCACTGGGCACCAGAAAAGAGGAATGCAAATAATTTGTGTTTGTGACATCGGCTCACCTGGGGAGCATTTTTGAGTGATTAGCATCTGATTTGAATGCACATAAAAGCAGCGCTGCTCACAAACAATGAGGTCTCTTTAAATACACAACAGGTGCTGGGTTTCAGGGTAGTAATGAGCATAGATCTATTCATGTCTGAGTGTGTGTGCGTGTGAGAGTGTGTGCGTTTGTATGCACAAATTCGTCCACAAGCTAACAGAATTAATGCCTATGTTGCGTTTAAGTGCATCATGATTCAAGTAAGCTCTCTGCACTTTTCAATCTCTTGTTCGTATCTCGAAATTGCTCTCTTCATCTCTTTGGTGTCACATTCTCTGCTCTGATTGCATCCATTTATATTGAAAACAGATCTTTATTAGTCTTTGCTTCCTGTTACTCTCCTGCTCCCTCTCTTTCCTTCCTTTAGCTCGCTCATTCTCTGGAGGAGAAAATAAAGACAAATGTCAGGCTCCTCTCCCTCTACCCCTCCCTTTTCTCTCTCTCTCTCTCTCTCTCTCTCTCTCTCTTTTTTGGTATCTACTAGCTGTACGTCTCTTTTCGATTTCCTGGCACTATTAAGAAGCAGCAGGGGGATGAAAGAAGGAATGGGGGGAAGAAAGAGGAAAATAAAGAAACAACCAAATTAAAATAGAGGCTGGGAAGAAATAGTGAAGGAATGGTGTAAGCAGTTTAAAATTCAATGAAAGTAATTCACAGAAAGTATTGCATTTCTGAACATATATGCTGCCAGCAGTAGCACTCAGATTCCTTGAAGTTTACATTTTGGCTCATTACAATCTGATACTTTAATTAACTTTATTAGGATTTACAGTGGAAGACAAACTCAGAGTCCTTCATAACTCTGAAGGAAAAAGAAACACAAGCTTCAAATGTCCGTATAAATACAAGTCTGCAGTTTGATGTGCATTTGTATTCAGTCTCTCTGCAGAACCACTTTTCCCTGCAGTTACAGCTGCAGGTTTGTTCTTTTTTTTTTTTGCAGTACGTCTCTACTACATTTGCACATGGAGAGACCGACATTTTAACAACAGAACGAGTTCAGGCAGACCGGATGGAGAGCCTCTATGCGCAGCTATTTCCAAGTGGATTTAGGGTGGACTTTGATTAGGCCACCATAGTCAACATGAATATGTTTAGCTAAAACTGTTTCATTTTAGATCTGGCTGTATGTTCAGTCTTGGTGGACGACCAAGCTTTGTTGTACTTTTTAAGTGTTCAGATGATGAATTGAACTTTGCTCTTGAAAGCTGCAGTATGTAGCTTTTACAAACTGTAACCATTTTCTAACAGTATAATGAGAGAAAGATAGTCTGTGAAGAAAGAAAAATCAGGTTCCATCCATCCATCCCTCGATTTACTCCCACAACCCTGCAGCCAATGGATGGGTGAATTTAAATGTAATAAACTTAAAATAATACTGGAAGTGAATGGATTGGCATTGTTTATTGATATTCTGTAAAATCTAAAAAGCTTTAGTCCAAATGGTTACTTGGACTTTGTTGTTTGTAAGTTTAAAGCTATGAGTAAAAACTAAAGGCAAAAATAATTGACCTGTCTGTAAATCTGTCTGTAAAAATCTTAAGATACAAGTTAAATAAATGAACAGGATAAATTAAAAAAAGTGGAATATGTAAAACAGAACAAAGGGGGAAAACATCAAATACACAGAGCTCTAAGAAGAGAAATGTCCTCTGCAGACCTAATATTGCTACATGTTGAGCTTTATATATGCCAGTAAGAAACTGTTTCATACAGGACTGACATAAAATGCCTTAGGAAATAGGATAGAAAGAGCTTATAGTAATCTGGTTTTGGGAGGAGGGAAACGTGCAAATAATAGAAAAGCTAAATGCTGTCATGCATGACAGAGACAGACGTATATTTCTTCTGATGTTCTGTGTGAGAGACAGGGCAAATTTACTTAACAGTTTTAACATAGTCCTAATTGATGAAATTAAGGCGGAGCTCCTTTTCTAATCTGTATAATTTCTTGTGAATCTGATGAGTGGTAAAGTGGTTATTTATAGATAAACTGAAAAACCTTTGTTTTTCAGTACATATCACATTTTCAGATGTGATATGTATGAGACAACAGAATCTTACCATATTCATGATGTAATATCTGTCAGCATGTAGTGGATGTATGTGTCACGTATTAGATTAGTGAGCTGGTTTAAGCCTTTTTAATGTTTAAAAATGAGGACAATTATTTTTAAACCTTTTTTTTACTTTAAAATAATAATGAAAAAGAGATATCTGTATATTTTCTCTGTATCTGAATTGAACGTGCGTCCGTGTGCTGTCTGTCAGGTGAACGTACGGTTCTGGTTCGCCACAGGAGGTGCCGGGTTCTGTCTGAGTCGAAGGCTGGCAGAAAAGATGTCTCCTTGGGCCAGGTACAGATAAATATTTTAAAAAAAACGTGTTTATGAATGTATGTCTCATTGAAGCACGCAGCCAATATGATGCACGTTCCTGCAAACCTGAGAGTTCTCACAGGGAAGCAACTATTTGTAGCTGTGTTAACCTGCATCTTGATTTTTATTTTAACCCTTGTGCGAGGACTGAGGCAAACGTAGAGGACTGAGGCAAACGTAGAGGACTGTGGCAAACGTAGAGGACTGTGGCAAACGTAGAGGACTGAGGCCAACGTAGAGGACTGAGGCCAACGTAGAGGACTGAGGCAAACGTAGAGGACTGAGGCAAATGATACAAGTTTTAGGTGTGTGGGGTTGGTTGGACCCCATTTGTAAACACAAGGGTTAAGAAAATGAACTAATAAGGCGTATTAAACAGTTTAAGACACAACACAGGAGTCCAAGGTAAATCTCTGCTGTCTGCAAGACTTTATTTATGCTGCATTCAAAGAGGTGAGACTAATGGCTGCCCAGGGCTTCATGTTGGGGGAATCAGACCAAAAATACTAAGTTCTGTGGGGGTGAGGGGGGGGGGGGCGGTCAGCACTAAAATACGAGTAATGAATAGTTACTCATAGTTAATGGGCCACAAAATGCAAATTCACTTGAAATGCCCCTCTACGATAAAATTTTAACTTTTCAGGGATAAAGTTTTCACCTAAAAGAGCAAAATTCAAAGTTCTCTAAAAACGCAATCTCTTCCAGCGGCCCGCATTTCGAGCGGACATCGGCCAGGATCCGTCTCCCGGACGACTGCACCGTGGGCTTTATTGTCGAGAAGATGCTGGGCGTCGCTATGGTCCACTGTCCTTTGTTCCACTCGCATCTAGAAAACCTGCTTCTAATAAGTCAAAGAAGCCTCCCGCAGCAGGTACGGCGACACACAATCCCCGCCAAACGTGCAGAAACCGACTCGGTTGCTCCTTCTCTTATTGCTGTGCGTATTTCCATTTGTTCTCTGCAGGTAACCCTGAGCTATGGGATGTTTGAGAATAAGATGAACAGCATCGAGGTAAAGGGAAGCTTTTCTAAGGAGGAGGACCCCTCCAGGTTAGTCTCTCCTTCCATTCATTTGTAAATGAGAGAGATATGTGAGCAGTGTCCTACTGTCTAAATGAACGTATTTAGTGTCTTTGAATTCCTCCGAAGCCTCCGGCAGCAGCTGTGTGGTCTTGGTGGGCGCGCACAGTAGACGAGCAACGTGCGAGAGAGACTCAGGCTGTTTCTATGAACTGTTGAACTTCCCACTGCTCGTGTTTGCTAATGTTAAAATTGTTAAAGTTGTTACAGAAAGGTTATGGTGCAAAAAAAACAAACAAAAAAAAAACATCGCCTTGAGCTGTGCTTGTACTTTCCTGATATCTGGCATGTTATTTGAACATTGTAAATCAAATTTTAAAAACCAAAATTTGAGGATACTGGGAAAATTTAATTCACACCAAGCTGCGGTACAGGCGTGTTCATGAGAAAATGTTAAATGCATGAGGCATGTGTTGGCCTTGAGGTGAAGAAGAAGTCTGTACTGCTTTCAGAGGGCAGGGTAAAGTCACAGGGAATGCAACGAGCCCTGCTGCAGAAAATATTTGATGATCGTGAAGCAAGGTTCACACTGTGGAAGAACCACAATCCTGGTATTAACGGATCTCAGCTCAGCATCCAACTATAGCTGATGTTTCCATTAAACCTAGAATTGCCCAAACTCAAATTATGAAAATAAATTTGATTAATGGAAGTACAGCAATTTTGGAAAATCTTGTGTTTTTTCTCATGTAAGACATTTTTGCACTAGGATGAGGTCGTGTTAAAATAGATTTATTTAAAATAGAAACACTAATGGAAACACTTCTATTGCACCAACTACATTGCTCAGACCTGATATCTGTGTTTGAACATTCAGGGACACATAAAGACAATTACAAAGCCAGCCTTCTATCACCTAAAGAACATTTCTAGGACTAATGTCCCAACAAGATGTTGAGAAACTCATCCATGAATTAATCTGTAATTACACTGATTACTGCAACACTATCCTCACAGGTCTGAATCACCGTCAGGTTATAAGTGAAGCCATTCTGCGGACTATTATTTCAAGACCTGCCGGCGTTAACGTGACTCTTTACTCTGTTTTTTGCAGGTTTAAAACTGTCCACTGCATCCTGTATCCTTCCACCAGCTGGTGTCCTCCGGTCACTTGAGAGAAAGCTCTTTTCCTGCTGGGTAGAAAGAAAGAATAATTCCCTGGATGTTTTATTTTTTTCTGCGCAGACGGGAAAAAAAAAACATGATTTATTTTCATGGAACACAGAAGGAACTGGGGTCGAACCAAATATTCAACATGATGAAACTGTGTTCACCCACAACTAATGAATGCGTTGGATATTCAGCGTAAAGCTCTGTAAAGAAGTCTCCTCCAAAAAATAATGTTTTGTCTCTTTTATTGTAACTTAAGCACTTAATAAAGGGAACAAATGCGTGATTTTTTTTTTTTTTCAAGATTTTCATGATTTGTTGGCAGAGATTTTTGGATAATAATGTTTCAGTTCAACAGAAATTACTTTTTTAATGTAAATTATGATTCTAATTGTCAACAATGTTCATTAATCAATGCGGGTAGCAATAAAGTAATGCGATCTGTTACGGGTCGAGCCTAACGCGGCATCGTGGTGTGTTTACTGTTCTGAAGGAGATTTCGTCCTTGCACCTACAGCATGAAGCCTGCACACAATGAACCGCCTTGACTCACATCTCCCTCGGCCAAACCTCTCATCCTCTCCTTTATTTTCTCACTTCCTCCCTTCCTCCCTCCACCCCTCCATCTGTCTCGCTGCCCACCGCCTCCTCCTCCTCCTTTCCTTTCTGTTTGCTACGCGTCAGCCGCATTCCTGAACACCTCGAGGCGGAAAAGCGCCCGAGAGTAAAACGCTCTTCCACTCTATCCCTGATTGTCGTGTTTATTTTTGAAATTCATCGCCCCCATCTAGCCTCCCCTCCTTCACACTGACAACAAAACACTCAAAGTGTGATGATGAGAGCAACCGACATTCCCGGTCTCCTGTTGAGAAAAGAAAGCGGCCCGCGTTCGCAGGGAAATCTCATCAAGCCGGACAGGTCGGGTTCAGAATACCAACGGCGCGATGATATGCACGCAATCAGGCGTTAGGGTAGGAATGAGTGGCGGGGGCCATGAGGAGAGCACCTGAGGCGAGTGATGACACCGCGCTGCGTCTGCTGCGGCTCGCCGGCCCGTAGTTTGCTTGTTTGGTGTGAATGGAGACGTGATGAATACAAATAACGTTGTCGGAAGCATCCGCGTCTGACCTTGCCTGCAGAAGACGGAAGTTAGTTTGGAAAGAGCGTGAATGAGCGTGTGACTTTAAGAGATAATGATGGGAGCATGCAGACCCACTTGAGAGGAGTAAATAGGAAGTTGAATTGATGGGAAAAGTGATGGGTTTTTTCCCCTTCGTTTGTTTAATTCAGTGTGTTTCACATTTTATCAGTGGGAAATAAGATGTTGAAGTATGGAAGCATTTAACTGCCAGAGCTTGGACTTAAATTCAGAAAACTTTCACGTCATAACAAGACTTTTAAGAAGTTATTACGAGACATATCTCAGTAAAATCGAAAAATCTTTTCCTGTAAATAAGACACATTGTAACAAAACACTAAGATAGTAACATCATTTTTTTAGATGTTATCTAGAAGAAACAGGGTAAAAAGAAGAGACATAAGTCGTTACATCTCGTTAAAATGAAAAAGTTTTTTGTTTCAACGAGTTTTGTATCTTGTTATAATGAGGAAGTTTGTCATGTTAACTTGTTCTATATCTCTAGCGATAAAGTTTTCACTTTTCATCAAGTTTTGCATCTATAATGGGAATTTTTTCTCATTTCAATGAGTTTAGTATCTTTAACACAAGAGTTTTCTTGTTTTAATGAAAAACTTTCTTGTTATAGTGAGATACCTCTGAATGCATTTGAGTGGAACAATTCCATACTAAAGAGTTAATAGTGCAGATCTTTAAAGGTATTTTTTTTTTCAGATTTCACCCATCATATTTGGTCTGATGGGTTTGACTGAGATATGTTTGAAAGCAAAATTATTTGAGAAGCAAATCTTTGTGTCTGCGCTTATAGAAACATCCAGATTATTATATAAAGTTTCATTGTCTCATCCCTTTGTATGTGTTTGCTTGACATATGAAACTAAATTCATATTTTATTGTTAAGGCTAAGGACGGCCAGCAGTGATGCGTATATAATTCATGCCTAAGTCAAAGCATGTTGCCTCGAGAATCACAAAGTTCACTGAAACCTCCGGCCTTCCTTGACTGTATGCATTTAAACTCCACGTAATTTAACCTTACGTGACACCAAGGACTTGATTTGGCTTTATCAGAGAATAACAGTGCAAAGCAAAAAAGAACAGACACTTTCGTATTTCACAATAAAAATGTGTGATTAAAAGGATTTCTCCTCAATTAAATAGGACGGACCTTGAAACATAAATAGCTTTCAGTTTACACATAAACCTTCTCAATGAGTCCTTCACTCATTAATCTACTCTAGGAATGGATTTATATTAACATCTTCTTTAAAATGTGTGCAGACGAGCTTTAGCTCCATTGCAGTTCCATATGTTCGTATCATATACGCAACAAAATGTTTAAACACACAGACTGATGTTTTTTCCTTCTTCTATTGTAAACTTTTACAATGAGTTTTTTATTTTTTGTGGTCTGCTCATTCGGTCTTCTCAAAGAAGCCTTTCCATGCGTTGTCGGCACATATTTCCTTTTTGCCCTTCTTTTTTGCGATGCTCAAAGGGGCGAGAGGCTTGTGTCCTCCTGCCCACTGCTTGCCTTTGACCCAACTATAGTAGATTTATGGCCCCTGCTGTCCATAAACAGGACTAACTGTGGGAGCAGGGGACCAGGTCAATTGGAAGCAGAGTGTTACAGCTGTCAGAGGAGCGGTGCCTCTCATCTCCTCTGTCCGTCACATTAAATCGATGGGGGCTTTTCAAAGGGCAAGACAGGAAGAAATGATGCGCAGGAAGAATAAAATGATGGAGGAGCCAACAGAAGATACTGACAGCTAGGCAGATTTCTTCTTTTTTTTTCCCCCTAATAAAGACACAACACATAAAATCCTCAAAGATTTGGCAAACCTTGAACAGAATGTAGGGATAACAGGCGATTCTCTATGGCTGCTTTTGTCCAGTTTATCCAGCAGGAGGGTCTCAGTCCACATCAGTGAATCTTCACCTACATGTGGAGTTCCACAGGGCTCCCTTTTAGGCCCTTTGAGTTTTTTTTTAAAGGTATTTGCACTTTTGTTTCATTTTTATGAAACAAAAGGTTTCATAAACAAAGGCATGCCTTGTTTATGCCTTGTTTATGACAGCTGGAGTTTCCTCACTCCATGACATCATCTTGTCTGGTTTCCAGCGCCTGAAGTTTCTCTCTCTCTTCATGGTCCTGCGGGTCAAACACTCCCCAGTAAATGGACAATCTGTATTCCTCTGCAGTTACAGAGCAAGTTTGCTGTGGTTCGATTCTCAGTGGAGGAGTTCCTGGTCATCCAGGTAACCCATTGCCTCCTGCTTCTGGAGTATTCCCAGTTTGCCTATCTGGCCTCTCGCCTTCCTGTTTATCCTGCAGATTCTGTCGTTCATCTTGCACATTTTATTTGTCATTAGATCTTAACTCTTCCTGGATTGTGTTCCGAGTTCCAGCTCCAACACATATATTGCATATTACAAAAAAAAAAATGACTTGATTTTTGTATGTTAATAATGTATCTGCCAGGGGAAAGAGTTTGTGGATAAACCTGAGGTTAGTAAGTAATTTTAAAGTACATTTGACTTTTGGTGTTTTCTGTTGTCAGGGTTTAAATCTGGCATGTGTGTATCTCTGACAAGTAGACTTCTAAAAATTTGGTCGAACAATCATTTGGCAAGAAAAATGATGCTAATTTTGACATGATTTGTAAATTCAGCTACTGAATAAATATATGAAATTGAAGATGTTTCATTGCAAACAGCAAAGGCAGAACATTCAAGATCACTGCTTAACTGGACAGAGCCTTGTCCTTCCAACACATGGCAATAACTTCGTCCACATTTGCTTCTTTTAGATTAACTTCGACATCTTCTCATCTTTCAGTGTCACCCTTATTGCTAAACTTTTTCTCTAATTCTTGAACGGTTCCACATTTAACCAGGCACTAAAAAGCAGCGATGCAACACATTGAACCCCAATCGCTTTTGAAAAGTAAAAAAAAAAAGAATTGAAAGACTCTGGGCTCTGTAGGTTATTAACTATTGAGAACCTGTTAGTTTTTTGAACATTGTTTTTGGCGCTGTCTGAGAACTCTGTCAGATATGATTAGACACTCTAAAACCTCGGTGCCTGTTATGATTTATTTGAGATACAAGATCTATTAAAATGTTTCTGCTTCTCTACTATCTGAAAGTCTCTGTGATTCACTCATGTCCATATTCTTTTCTTCGTATATATATATTTTTTTATGGTCAGTGTCACTATTTTTACCTCATTTTCCTCCCATAAAACTTTGGTTTAATTAATTCCATCTTTTTATATGCCTCAGCTGTTTTGTCACTCACCATCTTGCTGTCTCTCTCTACTGATCTGTTGTGTTCAAACGAGCCATAAGCAGAGCTCACATGTAGCTCTTCTACTGTGAGCCTCTGTGTGATGAACAACTGGTCCTGGTTCACCATGACAGATGTCTGCATGTCAGTGTGTTATGAAACAATAGGACTGACTACGGATGACTTAATAAATGCTAAAGACTTAATACATTTGATCTAATTTGGATCAAATTTACCAAGTTGGGGCACCATCTAATTATAAGAAAATAATAGTTTTCAGCCTAAGTTAATGAATACCTGCCTGAACACTCAACATCAGCTCAATATATTAACTTCTCCCTCCTGATAAGGAGGGCTCACTTTGATTGGCCAAATTCTGAAGGCAAAATTCATGATTATCTCTTTGGTTTGTGTTGATTGCACGGCATCCGCAAACATCATCAGAATCAGTAAACCTCCTAACGACACAATTTATTCTTTTTAATTGCAGTTTATCAGATTTCGAAGAACACGCTTGAAGCAGAACTGAAAACTGAAGCGCAAACATCAAATGCCTGAAAAATATGAAAGCTTTCAACTAAATAAGTTAGCATGATTAGCATAGACCACTGCACTCACTGCTCCTCTCTTCGGTTCTGACGTTTGTACAAATCAAAAGACTGTTTTGAGGAAAAGTTTTCTCACTGTTACCTAGACAACTTGTTTTACTCGGTGTGCCTACACTTGGACAGATGGTCTCATTATGAACTCAGCAAAGAAGAAAAGGAAACAAGCTGCTTGTCTTTTTTTGTTTGTTTTTTGAAAGGCTTAAGCCATACTTAAAATGTTCTATCATTTAATAAATGCAGTGTAAACAAACTGTTCTGAATAAGGATCTACCCAAACCTAACAAAAACAGCAGAGATAAAACAAGAAATATAAACATATATTCCAATAAGTGCTGTATCTACCACGCACTACAGAAAACATGCATAGAGGTAGAGGTTTGTGGCACTAAGTTTTTAATCATCTGTAAAAAGAAATCTTGTACTTTTACAATAA